CTGGTGTTCATGTGTAGGGGGAGATCTCCTCATACAAGTTACTAGTGTGACCGTAGCTTAAATTAGGAAGGTATCTGGATAAGGTATTTATTCTCTTCAGGTAAGTCCATAGGGCAAGGAAGACCATTTTGTATTAATTTTGTTCCTGTTAGCCATTTTCTCCTTTTTATCTTTCGTTTCTATCTCCTGTTCGTCTTTCTCTTTCTTTTCATGCTCCTTATCCTCCTTCTCGTTAACTGTCTTTCTCTTTCTCTCTTTTTTCTACCTTTCCTTCTCTTCTTTCTATTTATTTTCTCATTATCTTCTCCCTCTTCTTTTCTCTTTTAATCTTCCTATTCATCCTTCTCCCCCTTTCTCCTCCTCTTTATCAGTTTCTTCTCCCCTTCCTCTTTCTATTTCTTCTCCTCTTTCTCCTCCTCTTCTTGCATTCTTTCTTCTTTCTCTCCCTCCCTTTCATTTCCTAGTCCTTCTTTTCTTCCCAGTAATCTTCCTTGTCTCTCTTCTCATCGTTCTTTTCTCTTCCTGCTATTCGTCTTCCACCTTCTGCGAATTCTTGGAAATACGTTGCTTACATGATAATGATGGTGATGGTGATGGCGATAATGATGGTGGTGATGGTGATGGTGATGATGATGGTAATGGTGTGATGATGGTGATGGTGATGATGATAATGATGATATGATGGTGATGATGATATGGTAATGATGATATAATGGTGGTGATGATGATGATGGTAATGATGATGATAATGATGATATATGATAATGATGATGATGATAATGGTGATGGTAATATCAATATGTCTACACTTGACCATTTCCCTCCCTTTCTCCCTCACCCCCCCTCGCCAGAACGCCCCGCCTTCGCACCGTCACCCTGAGCCTGTACTGCAACTACCTGCTGGTGGGCGCCGTGTACTTCGGCCTCTCCCTCAGCGGCGGCGACCTGAGCTCCGACCCGTTCCTGTACATGGCGCTGACGGGGGTCGTGGAGCTGCCGGCCTACACGCTGGTCATCCCCCTGGTGGCTCGCTACGGCAGGAGGGCCCCCGTCGTCGCCTTCGTCTTCATGGGCGCCGTGGCTCTTCTGGCGTTGCCCTTCGTGCCTGCAGGTGGGTAAGGCTCCAGATCTGCGGGCGGGCAGTTACTTGTCTGTCGGAGGGGATGGAGGGATGGAACGGGGGGGGGGGGGGGCTGTTTGCTCACGTTGGAGAGTGGGGGCGAAGCGCAGAGGGAGGGGATGGGGGGGGGGTCTGTACTTGCCTGGAGATCGGATGGGGAGGGAGGGGAGAGGGAAGGTACGGGGGCGGGGGAGGGGGTTTGCTTACGTGATTGTTTACGTGGTTGCTTGTCTGCTTGTGCGGGTCGGGTGGGGACGAGGTCTATATAAGTATATACTTATAAAAGACCTTGAGTGGAGATGGAGTTTCTTACTTGCTTGTTACGGGAGAATTATATACCCGTAATGAGATTTGGATACTGTCAGAGGGATGCCCCTTAGATAGAGACAATTAGATTACCTAAAGTGATCTTGCCTAGAGGCAGTTGATAATTAAGAGACTATAACAGTAAGCAAAGCACACACATTATGGATTTGTTCAGCTTCGTAAGATTAGCTTACTTGCAATTTATATGTGAAGGAGCATTTTACTTTTTAATCAATATACTTTTAGATGATGATACATAACTGTATCGTATTGGCTTCCATGCCAACTAAAATCAAGACACAAGACATTCAGCGTCGAATACCCTTCAACGAAATGTATCATAGAAAACGTAATTTCTCGATTGCTGGGGAAACCAAAAGAAAAGTAATACATATTTTCCCCCCCTTTCAGGATCGATGGTTTTAGCCCTTATAGGAAAGATGAAAGTGAAAAGACAATGTAGCTTTTTGGGACACATAATAAGGAAAAGGAGGATCGAATACCAAGTGGTAACAGGGAAAGTTGAAGGAAAGAGAGATAGAGGAAGACAAAGACAGACATTTCTCGGTTGGTTGGGCAAGTGCTTAGACGGGAGAGGAGTGGACATCATTCGTTTGGCAGAAGACAGAATTTCGCTTCATGCTGTGACAGCCAATGTCAGAATCTGACAAGGCACTATACGACGACGAGGAAAGATGAGCATCACTTCAGCATTTTAGATCCTCGACTTCTATTCCTCAGAGCTCTTTCCCACGGAGGTCAGAACGAGAGGAATGAGCTCTGCCCATGTTATGTCAAGGGTCGGGTCCACCTGTTCGCCTTACATTATAGACTACCTGGTGAGGATATATCTTTCTTCTTGTTCTCCCTTCGTTTCTTCTTGTTTGAAATCCAAGTCGTAATTCGGGAAGGTATCTGGCTATGGAACATAGTCTGCAATTTTCCCTGCAATTAAGGGCATTTTCCTGAGTTCTGTGAATACCTGTTTAGTATTCCCCCCCTTTCCTTCTCTCTCTCTCTCTCTCTCTCTCTCTCTCTCTCTCTCTCTCTCTCTCTCTCTCTCTCTCTCTCTCTCTCTCTCTCTCTCTCTCTCTCCCTCTCTCTCTCTCTCTCCCCTCTCTCTCTCCCTCTTCGCCCTTCTCTCTCCCCCCCCCCCCCATTTCTCTCTCTCTCTCTTTCTCTCTCTCTCTCTCTCGCTCGCTCCTTCCCTCCTTCCCCCCTTTCCCTCTCTCTCTCTCTCTCTCTCTCTCTCTCTCTCTCTCTCTCTCTCTCTCTCTCTCTCTCTCTCTCTCTCTCTCTCTTTCTCTCTCTCACACACACATACATGACAAGGTCAAACTAAAACCCTCTTCCCTCCTCACCAGGGCCCGCTGTACCCGTGGGCGCCGTCGGCGGTGTTCGGGGCGCCGTCGGTGTTGGCGGGGCTGCCGGAGACCTGGAGGAGAGGGAGATCAGGACCAGGACCTCAGGCTAGCTCATTTTCGTGGAGTGTTTCGTCTGTTCGTCTCATTATCATTTTAGGGGTTGCTCACACGGCCAACCGGAACTGACGCTTATCACGCTCGATTTCATTCAACAAGCATGGCAGTGACGTCATTAATTCCGACCTGAATCAAACTTCGCGTGTATACAGTGATGACGTCACGGCAAATATTGAATTCAATTCTGAGTAGAAAAATAAGTAGTTGGAAATATAAAGATAAAGAAAACGATATTTTTTATCGTAAGAATTGAAATACATATGATTAAAATTGACTATATAGACTCTTGCCATGCCTCCATCGCCATTTCCGAACGATCGACGCCGTTGCCATAGGAAGAAGATTATGCCAACTCGGAAGCCTCAGAAAATGGGAAAGTTGAATATTACTACCAACCTGTTATCGAAAAAAAAACAAATTCGTATGGAGGCAGCTTTACAATGCCATCTCAACCATCACAGATTTGTATTTTTAAGGCATCTCTAGCTGAACAAGGAAATTCCCCACGCGTTTGATTTTTTTCAACACTTGGGAGAGGCGTTCAGTCAGGGTTTTTGACAACGCGTTGTGCTGTTTTACGTCATCGTTTAAGCTCCGCCCATCCAAACCTGAAGACTAACCTGAAATTCGTTACACGAGATCCATTTCGCTTTTAATGTGCTTATTTCTTCACCAGGGAAGCCTAGCTGTGCCTATATTTTATAACGGAAATGCTTTAATTATATTTCTAGATCATTGTGTATCTAGAGATCAAAGAAATAACACTGGAACATGGAGATTAATTTTTGATAGACTCATTTAGAAATGTTTGGAAAATTTAACTCTCAAACACACGGTGCCGCAGTTCATTGCTTCGGTTTTGTATGTTGTCAAACTATATATAGTTTGAACATGTAATATAGCTAAGTGTGTGTATGTATATATACATATATATACATACATGCATATATATATATATATATATATATATATATATATATATATATATACACATATACATATACAAGTATATGAACATGCGCGCGCGTGTGAGTGTGTGTTTGTGTAAGGATATTCATTTTTAGATCATTTTTTTCACCGATATCCTTGGATTCTATCCGTTCTCAATTTACAGAGGTATATATAGAGATGTTTATGGTTGAGGAAACTGGGCTTCAGTGAAAAAGTTTAATTTAATTTATTTTTTTTATTTTATTTTTTTTTTTTGCATGCGTTAGGAATAAAACATACATAGAAAGAAAAACAATTTCCATAATTCCTTCCTCTCCTGCACTTCGCTGTCACATCACTATGTTCACTCCACTTTCTTATTCACTCTATCGGTGATGTAGAGTCCGCATTCAAAGTCCAGCTATTGCCGTAAAGTTGCAGGATTCCAGCACAGTCTGTCTCTCTGGATTCAACATTAGTATATTACCCTCTTTAAGAAGTTATACGAACATACTATGCTGCTAAGGCTGTAATGTCTGGTTTGCAATTAGATGCATCGTTTGACTGGTATTTCTCGGCTATGTCATGGGTTTTATTTTAATTATGATATTCACGTCTATCGTATAAATATATTTTATTCGAGATTTTTTTTTTATTTCATTTTCTCATTGTTCTTTTTTCCACTATGACAGGTCTCTTAAAGGGGTAAATGACTTATTTTAACTAATTCTCAAATAGAAATCGCAATGTGCAAAACAGAAATAGATGCCAGCAGAATATAGATATGCTTTTGACTGAGCATGATAGATTCCTCTTGTTGGCCAAGAAATAATTCCCACCAAAGTACATAGATCTGAGGCAAAACTTTTAGGCAGTAAAAGACTAAACGGATCCAGTCACTTAATGACCTTAGGTGGCCATATTAACTGTCGCCAAATCAGCTTATGGAAGCAAATAATAAGAAAAATACAACATACTTATTAGGTTTATGATATTTGCTCTGAATGATGGTATTACTTGCCACAACCATATACGAGTTGTTTTTTCTATTAATATTTTTGGATTACTGTCGCTTTTCTCTGATTTTTTCTACATTTATTTATTTTTTTTTTTTTTTTATAAGTTAAGGAAAATAACGAAAAGGTCTGGGAAAACTTCAGCCATTATAAGAATCAAATTTATTATGAATATACATATTTTCTCTAGACGAACAGTATTTTGGAAGACATGATAAAACAATCAAGAAAAAAAAGGCGCAAAAAAAAATTATTGGAATCATCGGAGTCTTCACCCAACGAAAACCAACTTTCACCAGATAAGATAAGCAATTTACTCGAATCTCCTCGCTCGGTTAATCCTGGAGACCTGCACTTCTTTCTATTACATTCAGACACATATTCAAAGATATATAACGTACACGTCGTCTACTACCTCGTAAGTACAATCAGAAAAAAAAACATCTATCGCTACCTTGTGTTCAATGAGAAACAACGCTTCTCTCTGTTAACACCTGATTACATCGCTAACTCCCTTGCCTCGCTATTCCACAAAACTTCGTCCTATTCATATTAATTTGTGCAGAGGGGGACGATATATACTTTTCTGACTGCACATGGAAACTCATTCTTTAACTGGGTGACTAACGTAATAACAGTACATAGGTTTACAATAACGATTATTCATGTAAAAAAAATATATATATATATAATAATAATAGATAGATAGATACAATAGGGCATAATAGTGAATCCCTACATAGCAAACACACTTCACTGGTTAATTATCAGGGATCGTCGGTAATGAAAATTGTTATAGTCAAAATTGGAACAAAATAAAATATACAACAATAGACAATATCTCAAATTACAGAAGAAACACATCCGAAATGACGAAAATAATCTTAGCATTTGGTAGTGCAACACTTCCAATTACCATTAGTGGCGTGTTGATGTACAGCTTTTGATATACAGATATACAGATATACGTGTTGATATACAGCTTTTGATATACATATATACAGATATACGTGTTGATATACAGCTTTTGCTATACAGATATACTAGTTGATATACAGTTTTTGATTTCCTGAAGTAATGGGAACATAAAAGTAGACGGCGGTGGACTTGCCAGGCGGAGTGTAGAAGCGAGAACCGACTGATGGATCTTGGTTCTCAAATGGTTCCGTCAAAAAGTCTCTTCTCTCCTCTCCTTTTCTCTTTTCTCTCCTCTTCTCCCTCTTTCCATCCCCTCCATTTCTGCTTTTCCTGTTCTCTCTTCTTCATTTCTCCTTTTTTCTCTTTCTCTTTCTCCTTCTTTCCTTCTCTCCTTCTGCCGCTCTCCCTTTCTCTCCTTTTCTCCCTCTTCCCTCCTTTCCTCTTCTCTTACTCTCCCTCTCTTCCATTCTCCTTTATCCACTTCTATCTCACTCACACACACACACACAAAGTCTCTCGCGCGCGCGCTCTCACTCTCACTCTCTCACCTTCCCTACCTCCCTCATTCCCTATCTCCTTGTCTCTCTCTCTCTCTCTATCTATCTATCTATCTATCTCTCTCTTCTTCCATGCCTCACTCTCTCTTCCTCCATTTACTTTTCTTTCACTACCCCCCTTCCTCCCTCGCCCATTCCCTCGCTCCTTTCTCCCTCCTTCACTCCTTCTCACGTCTTACTCTCTCTCTCTCCCTTTTTCCCTCTTTCCTTCTCTCTTTCCTTTGCTCCCTCTCTCTTCCTTCCATTCCTCTTTCCCACTCCCAACTTCCCTGCCTCATTCTCTCTTCCTCTCTCCTTCGTACATGTACTCCCTCCGTTCCTCCTTCATTCCACTCTTCCCTCCTGCCCTCCCTCTCTCTTCTTTCCCTCCTGCCTTCCCTCTCTCCTCTTTCCATCTCCCAGCTTCCATGCCTCACTCTCTCTCCCTCCCTCCTTCTTTCCTTCACTCCCTCCCTCTTTCCCTCCATCCATCCCTCATTCCTTTCCCTACCGAACTCCCTCCCTTCCTCCCTCCGTTTCTCCCTCCCTCCTTCCCACTCCCATCTTCCCTCCCTTGCCACTCCTCCTCGTTCCCTCCTCCTTCCCTCAAATTCTCTTCTCTCAGCATGATGCTCGCGGTCTTGATCCTCCTGTATCTGAAATAACATAGCATAACGTGGGTGAATTTTGGTTTCCGATTTACTGAATTTATCAAGAGATTTTTTATGTTAATCATTACGTATAGACAGATGAAAAGGAAAAAAGAACAAGCTGTTGTTGGAAAGGCTACTTGTATGATAGTTCTACGTAACAAGAAGAGACAAATTTAGTCGTAAAGGAGTATTTGCGATTCTCTCTCTCTCTCTCTCTCTCTCTCTCTCTCTCTCTCTCTCTCTCTCTCTCTCTCTCTCTCTCTCTCTCTCTCCCTATCTATCTATCTTTCCATCTATCTATTTATATATCTCTTTATTATAAATGAATATATATATATATATACATATATATATACTGCAGTCTAGAATATAACGTGCTCGACTGTATTTACCTTTTCCTCGGCAGTAAGAAAAAAATACAACCTTCATGTTAACCACTCATTTATTGAATGTCCAGTGAGTGTCCTTGAGAATGGAGATTATTCTCCATGGAATTCCCCACTAATGCTTTTACAGGGCTTATGAAATGCGAGATTCGAA